GATGCAAAGATACTCAATAAGATACTAGCAAATAGAATGCAGCAAATTATCAAGAAAATTATACATCACGATCAAGTTGGATTCATTCCAGGAATGCAAGGTTGGTTCAATATTCGAAACCCATCTCTTTAAATTATCTGTACCATATGCTTTTGCATAAGATTAAATCAGAGTAAAAGTAGCTTAGATAATTAAAATATAATTATTGGTATTTAAATAATACAGAAGACTCCCCAGACCCCTAGCATGTGTACAGGTGCTGGGCTGAACCCCAGACATCTTCAGGAACCCTGGTGAACCACCCCTGCACCTTCCAGACCAGTGTGCAAGGCAGGCAGAGCCCTGGCTACCTTCCAGGGCCTTGGTGGCCACTCCGCACACCCCTAGCATGCCTGCCGGTGCTTGGCTAAGCCTTAGACATCTTTAGAAAGTCTGGTAAACTACCGCCATGCCTCCCCAACCAGCGTGCAAGGCAGGCTGGGCCCTGGGCACCTTTTGGGGCCTTGGTGGCAACTCCCTGCACTCCTAGATCTCCATAGGAGCTGGACTGAACCACAGACATCTTCAGGAAACCCGGTGAACCACCCCTGTGCCTCACCCACTAGTGTGTGAATCAGGAGGAGCCCAGACACTTTCTGGGGCCTCAGTGGTCACTCCCAGCAGGACCCGCACCCCTGTGGGAGCCCAGCTGAAACCAGGACAGAGTCAGTGGCCTTGGGGCCCCCCCCTCACCCCTCCCCACAAGTTTGGGAACTGGGCTAGATCCTGGGCAACATCTAAAGCCTCTGTGACCATGATCTGCAACCCCTCTATCCTTGTGGAAGTCGGGCTGAACCCCAGGCAGCATGAGGAACTCCAGTGAGCCTTCCCTGCTCCTCCACAACTGACCTAGAGACAACTGAAGGCAAGAAAGTTTCATGAGTATATGGGATCCCACCTTGCCACCACAAACCAGATAGGAGCCACATGGAGGACTGGGGATCTTTGGACACTTGCCTGCCACTCCCACATAATCGTGGGAGTGAGGTTGAATTACAGGGAACCTCTGGATCTTCAAAAATGACAAAATGAGGGAGAAAAATGCAATGTCAGACCACTACACCACCCAGAACAAGTCCAGGAAACACCATAGAAGAACCTGGAAGTCATACATCTGAAATTTCTGAAATGATAGCAACTGAGGTAAGGAAACAACTCCATCAGGCCATAGAACACATCAAATCAGAAATAATGTCTCAGGTAAAAAAAGGAATGACAACAATAATGAAAGAATTGTTCAGCATATCTAAAGAAGACATTGATAAGAAAATAGAAGAACTTGGACAA